GGAGAACCATTATGGCGGCAACGCAAATAAAGGAGGCAGGCACGGGCGCGGGAATGGTCGCGAGGTTCATCGTCAGACATGCCATAAAATTACCATCACCCATTAGGTGACGAATGCAAGTATTGCAAGAAGAAGGGCCATTAGGCTTGCGAGTACCGGTCGAATCCCAACGCAGGATAAAGAGTAGGTGTCGCTCATGCTCGTGAAGTCCATCCATTTCTGTCCCCATCGCCGCCACCAACCTTTGAGGGTGCATCGCCGACCGATGCACCGGTGCTCGCCTCTTCGACCCTCCAAGACAGCTATGGATCTAAAGCGACGCCGACGGGATTGAGCGCCCTAATTGAGATTCGCGAGGAGAAAGTGTTCGTCTACCTTGATGAGAAAAATAAGCAAAAGGTTGAGATCTTGGTCCTAAGACACCAGCCCCACCAACCACATGTCTGGATCCAGGGCCACGTTCTTGAAGCTGGACACTATAGTGCTTGGCACCGTGCAATTCAATGACAACTTAGTGGCGCAGACCGAGGGCTGGGCACCGTCGTGTTTATGTGCAAGAATGACAAGCTCCGCGTCTTTCTAGAAATACCCTCTAAGCTACAATTGTTATCAAGGGGATTGGATGACTGAAAAAGCCTCTCAAAATAATGCATGATTTCACTAAGCAGCTCCCCTTGATTTTTACATCTGGATCCATCAGCTTTAACAATGTTATCAAGAGAATTAGATTTTCATCTTTGGTTGACACAAGCATGAAAGAACCTAGAGTTCTTATCTCCTTCCCTGAGCCAAGTGATCCTAAATTTCTGTCTCCAAAAGAGTTCTTAAATCTCATATGCTAATTGGGATTCAATTTTACATCTATTCCACTCACCCCAATCTCTATCCCCACCTAAAGCCCTGAGACTCTCTAGCTTCACCTTGCATTCTTCTATCTTAATTCTAGCATTTCCCACCACACCCTTTTTCCACTTGAGGATAGCATTTCTAACATTTTTCAATCTCAGTTAAATGCTAAATAAAGCATATCCTGACACGTTGGAATTCCAAGCTTCATAAACAATGTCATTGAAGCCTTCAGATTTGAGCCATCTGGCATCAAAGACAAATCTGCTTTTACTCACCTCACAGCCAGGGTTGTTATCAAATAACATGATGGAATGATCTGAAGAAGTAACAGAAATAATTCTAACCTGAGAAGTAGAAAACAGATCAAGCCAATTTTGAGAAAAATAAATCTATCTAGTTTCTCTTCAATGGCTTGATCCCTCTTTCTATTATTGGTCCAGGTGAAGGGATGTCCAATGACATTAGCTTCACTGACCCCCAAACAAGACAGAAGATTTCTAAAATCCAAAAAACTAAGCTCTTCCCTCTTACTGCCTCCTAATTTCTCCGAGTGATCAGCAATATCATTGAAATCACCACAGATAAACCAAGAGACCCCCCAATATAAACTATGTCTAATAATAACCTCCCACTGAACACTTCTAATCTTCCTACTAGTACTAGAATAGACAAAAATGCCCCAAAATACATCAGAGTGCCAGAAAATGAGAATTTGACTTCTAGACCAAAATCAGAGGGAATAATATCCTGAACCTTAATCATATCAGACCAATATAAAAACAGCCCCCCTTTAAAACCCACGGGTTCAACATAATACCAACTATCTACTAACTTAAGTTTTTTACAAACAGATTCAACAAATTTTTCTTTTCTTTTCTTT